TTAAATTACCAAACATCTTTTGACAATCCGTCAACTTATTCCGTTAGTCAAAGCCGCTGATTGAATCGGCTATTTACAATCTGCTAACATAATCCGTTATCCGCTAACCGCTAAATGCCAAACACATTCATAATAATCTGAGTGAAAGCAACCGGCCATTAATTATATGTACTCCTAGTTTATTCAAAACCTTGAAAAATTGAATCAACACTTCATAAGAAAGTGTTGTGTAGGAAATTTTGAATAGGAAAACTTTATGTTCGTTAGTGCACTTAAACAAATTGAAACTTTCACAACCAAAATATTTTTCAATCGGTTCATAAAAAGATTGTTTTTTTTTAAGCGAAGAAAAAAGATTGTTAATTGCGTGTATTAAGCAAAACTGTTCCAAGTCGGAAGATGAAATAAAAACCCATAGGCCTTTTCAGAAAATTAAAAGCATATTTGCTTCATAATGAAGCTCATTGTTTGTGCTTTATTTTGATTGTATTACAAGGCTTTGCAAGTTTAATGGGACGAAAGATCTTTTGAAAACACGACGCACTGTAGGTGTGTGCATTTCTCTTAGTGACAGTTTTTGTATTTCGATTGATGATTAGCTTTACTATGGAAAAGCCTATGAGTATGAAAAGTTTGTTGGGACAATAAAATTGCGGTACGATTGAAGAAACATTTTCTTAGAATCATTTTAAAACAAGTACACGAGAACTCGAGAAGGGGCATAAACCAAGGTCTAATGCGTACGTAGCCTCCTCCATAGGAACATACCTTCCAAAAACAAAACAAAACAAAAAGGGGGTGCACACGACCCATATAAAAAAAATTACACTCACAAATCAATACAAGAAGAGCAGTAGAACCTTAGCAACTCCAAGTGAGTTCAAAAGATGGTGATTAGGTAGCAATCAAGAAGAAAGGAAAATTGGGTTGTGCTAGGCGTACACATTTTGGTCTGTTTATACACTCGTCTGTTTCATACACTCGTCTGTTTCACGTACATAGAGTTGTCTATCCATAGACAACTCTGTAGAATTGTTTGTGAGACAGACGAGTGTACTAAAGGTGTACACCAAAAAGTTTACATCAAGCATTTTTCAAATTCCTCTAGTTTAGTCCGATCCACGCTATTTGTACACGTCTTTGTGCACGTCCTACTATATTACTTGTGTAAAACACTAAAAGTTTGGATTTTCACTATATTACTTGTGTAAAACGCTAAAAGTTTGGATTTTCTAAATTGTGTCGATATGGCCCATAAAGAAATCGCATTTTGGATTGTATGTTGCCTTTTTAACCGAAAGAGCAATGCCTCAACAGACAACAAAGTTCACTGAACTTGGTTATCCTCTAACCTATAGAAACTATACAAAGCCATATATATATATATATATATATGTATTATCATTAGGAGAAATCCGTCTTGAGCAATTTCTTCAGCCGAACTATTTCACTCGCTCTCTCATCCGGGCGGTGTGAGGGCCGTCGCCGATCTCTACCGGCATGATGATGGTGCCCTCAGCGTCAATGCAATCCCCGGTGAAGCCGGACAGCGGGGTACGCAGAGGGTGCAGCATGTCCTTCTTGAGCTTCATTCCCTCGAAAGCCTCCCAGTAGAGGACGTTCACACTGCTCCCGGTATCAACAAGGACGCGGCAGATGATGGCATCGTTCACGTCCATGCTGATCACCAGCTCGTCTCTGTGCGGTGCTGGTGACATCGGCAGATCGGCGGGCCCAAAAGTGATTGCCTCGATCTTGTTGCGCTTGGTGGGGGGTGTTGATACGGAACCCACGTAGAGTGATCTCTCAAATTTTTTCCGCTCGGCGGGTGTGTCCCCTGTCTCAGCGCCCCCGAATATCACCTTGATCTCCAGCTTCTTCTTTTTGCCCTTCGGGCCAAGGGACCCCTCCGGACGTTTATCCGCACTTCGATAATCCACGTCCTGAGGTTCTGCCTCACGCCGGTCGTCGCGGCGCCACGTCCGGGGCCTTGGGTTCGGCTTCTGTTGGCTGTTCTTGTTCAGCAGCTGGGTGAACTCGCCCAAGTACCCTTGACGGATCAGCTCGTCGATTGCTTTCTTTAGTTGGCTGCAATTGTCCGTCAGGTGGCCGGCCCTCTGATGGTATTCACAGTAGGCCGATTGGTCAAGCCCCATATGCTTCTTCATATCTTGGGGTTCCATCAGGAGGCCCTTGTCTTTGATGGCCTCAAAAATTTGGCTCACTGGATAGGCCAAGGGGACATAGCGGTCGTCCGGCCGCGTCTGAATATCTCCGGACGGAGCCTTCCAAGGGACCATCGCCCCCTCCGCCTTCTTCTTTTTGTTTGGGGGGGAGGGCCCGGGCCCCGGTCTGGGTCCGAGCCTGTCCGCCATCTTCCGTGGCTGGGCCGCGGGAACTTCGTCCCGCTGTCTGATCTCCTCCTCGATGGAGGCATACTTCTGGGCCCGAGCCAGAACCTCGGTGTAGCTGGTGCCGGGGTTTCTCCTCAGGTCCCGATACAGATCTCCAGTGGCTAGGGCACTGGTGAACATGTTCGTGGCCAGACGCTCGTCCAGATCATCGACCTGCAGGACCTCGTCCCTCCACCTTACTAGGAACCTAGCCAGCGGTTCGTCCCGCCCTTGTTTGATGTGGGCGAGAGCCGTGACGTCCTTCCTGGGGGTGGTGCTGGCAGCGAATTGGGCCATGAACTGCCGGGAAAGCTGTTCATACGAGTCGATTGTGCCCGGCCTCAGCTGGCCGAACCATTCTTGCGCCGGTCCCCTGAGGGTGCTGAAGAACAATCTGCAGATGGCTTCGTCCGATGCTCCCAGCATGGACAGATTCCCTTGGTAGCTAATCAGATGGGCCTTGGGATCACCGACCCCATTGTACACCAAGTTGCCCGGGGGTCTGCAGTCCCGGGGGTTCTCGACGCTCATCACCCGGGGGGTGAAGGGTGACGTGAGAGAGAAAGAGGGCGTGGCCGAGCCGACGTCCGTCCGTCTGCTCATCTCGGCTATCTGCCGCTCCATTGCTTCCAGCCTTGCATCCTGTGCGGCCCTTCCGGGGGACACAGGGGGCACGGCTTCGAGGGCAGTGTTTTGCTGAGCGGCCACAGCACCGTGCGGCCGCCTGAGGATCTGTGCCCCTCGCCGCTGGAAACGTCGTCCAACGGTGTTGATCCTTGGGGTTTCGTCTCCCCGCGAGACTTGGCGGGGAACTGATGGCGTGTGCGCCCTGAAGGCAGCGACGCTGACCTTGGTTCGCCCTCCCGTTCCACGGGAGCCTGAACCTCCACCTAGCCGCTCATGGACTGAGGGCCGGTGGTCGCTGGATCCTGTTGTATCATCGTACGACTGCATACGGCGGATGGGAGAGAGGGGTGTTCGCTGGGTGCTTGCAGAGTATACCTGCTCTTGAGCCTCCCGTTCGTCTACCAAACGGCGCATGGTGTCAGCAAGTTCCCGCATGAGGCGGGGATCCTGCCTGGCCTCAAGGGGAATGAGGTCGGTGATACCCCCGTTTCCCCCGGAGGTCCATATCGTCGCGGATAGTTCCGAGTTCTGGCCGCGATTCCGGCGGCTTGATTCCAGACGCTCGGAGAGGTCACGCTGGTTGTTGCTTCCTGACATCGTGTTTGCTGTAGGTAGATTTAGTAGCTGTTTGGGAGAGTTTCTGGAAACTTTTTGTTCAGTTTCCCACAGACGACGCTAGTGTTGAGGTTTATTCCTTCAACCCTCGGGCCCAACACGTAAGCCCAAAGATTTCGAGTGGAGTGAGTATATGAATACGTGAATATCTAGCCCAACAACTATCAGATGGATCAGGAAACAGAGGAAATAGCAGGCAATGTAAATAGGTATTATTAACTTCGTAATAACTCCCCTAAGTACAATCTACTTGCTAAAAAAGGCACGTCGGCCGTTCGTCTTACAAGGTAGTGTAGATGCTACAAGTAAGAATGTTATAGCTAGAATGCTAAGAATAGAAAGTTGCCAACCCCTTACAATGAAATAAATGCCACTATTTATACCCGCCAATGGGCAGTTAGCCCTGATGACGTGGAGGATTGTGAGTGGCTGTGGTCCAACCACCAAATCTCCAGCATTAAATGCGCTTCCCGCCAGAATCTGTGTTCCCCGCCTAATTCCAGACCATGATCGTCTGGTAGAACTGAGGGCAACTCTCAGCAGGTGGTGGAAGGCTGGGGGCCGCTCGTCTGCGGCCCTTGATAGAGTGAAATAGTCTTTTGGATTTGGGCCATCTACAGAGATGGGCCTCGGCTGACGACGTTCGTCGGGAATATGCTAATTGATCCTCGGTCGGGACCTTGTGCCGCTATCCGGGGGACCGACGTTCGTCCTATCTCCTCTGGGCTAAGGTCACCCGTGGGCTAGGCGACGTACATCGGTTTGGGGGTGATTGGGCCGAACCCCTGTTTGGGCCATTTACCCAACAAGGAGAAATCCTTACGCTATACTATCGAGAAAGTAGAAACGAGAACTTTGAATGAAAAGGTATTGTATATGATTATTGATTCTTGATTATTCGGCCTTGTACTACATGTACGCATATTTATAGGCGTAGGTACAGGTACCGAAGTGGTAACCTAGAACTTTGGGCCTAAGGCCTTTTTGGGCCCTATCTCCTTAGTTAGGTTTATTCAATACATAATAATAAAAGCTATAAAAGATAAAACTATCCTAATTAAAATAACAAGACTCTAGACAAACTTGATCACAATAAATAGTGCAACTCACTATGCCGTGGTTCAGTGAGAACCACAGAGACATTAGACGAGCTGTGCTTCATTACTCACTAGTGGAGACATCATTGATCTGAGAACCGGATTGTTTGGCTTCTAGTGCAACTCCAAAAATTCAATTCAGGGAAGTTAATTTTCAAAACATTGTTCTGTTGTGGGGCTTACGTCCTACTCTTAAACCAAGTGAGTTGCGAAGAGTTCAAGCAACAATTATATACGTAGCATTAGAAAAAGTAATGAGTGTGTTGAACAAAAATCAATAATAAGGGTATATTGGTCAAAACAGTGTCTATTTAACGATGTTTGTTATTGAGTCGTTTATTTTCTTAATAGGATTTGATGGAAGGGGAAGACAACAAATAGAATCAAAGTCCAAGGGATATATAGCTGGAATCCAAAATTACAAGATTGTACTAGTAATTATGATCAAATCAGAAAGGGTTAATCATAAATTTCCCTCTCCAATTCAACGTTCCTCATGCTTGGCCAACGACCAATGATCGTCGTTGCTTTACTCCAGGATGAGGCCATGCGGAGCAAGGTTTACTCCAGTCTCCAGAAGACGACAGGCCAAGAGATCTCTCTTCCCAGACGACAGACGAACTGTCTTTCTCCAATCAGTCTTTCATCTTCACGGCGGCACTATCGTGAACTGTAGGGATCAAGAGCGATATTTTTTTAGTTAATAAAACTATATCATTTGGGATCGGGGGCACCATGTACATGGTGGGCCGATCCCACGATATAATTTGCGCCTTTTTTCAAGATTTTTAAAGACAAAAATGCTAAAGGTACACAAATTTTGTACACCATGTACACCGTATATATTCCCATGTTATTTCTAATTAAATAGCAACATTTTCTTGTAAAAACACAAAGAAAAATTTGAATTTGAAATTGAAAAAAATTGAACTAATTACTCATACCATAGCTTTTCATACGTATTTTGAAACTAGCTATTTTTACGCGCAATGCGCGAAAGCTAATGCCCAATAATCAATAATTTTCATCAATGATTCATATAAACATGTGATATTAATCAATATATTTTCATATTTATTAATTTTTTTTCTGTAAATGATATAGAATATATTCTATTATTTGTACTTAAATTATTTGAAAGATTCTAAAATTGACTCCAAATTTATGAACTAATAATGATAGTAATGTACTAGTACTATTTTTTATTGTTATTTGAACTTAACGTAATAAAAATGTGCTTATTTGTAGTGTATTTGAAGTTAATGCACTAGTAAAGGTACTAATATAGGTTGTAACGTAGTGTTATGTTATTTGAACGTAAGTTAGCTAGTCAAGTTAATTTCTAACGGTGTAATGGCATTTTAGTCTATTAGAAAAATTTAGTACTATATTTTAGAATGAATGTACAAGCCTTTATGCATAAAAAGATTGACACAAATTAGGGATACTAACCCATATTCACAATTATAATGTTTTTAGACAAACGGTTGAGATGTTGTATTGTACTCGTAGAAGTATTGCGCTGAAGAAAGCAAGGAAGAAAAAACAAAAAAAATCCGTTGCCGGGAATCGAACCCAGGTCTCCTGGGTGAAAGCCAAATATCCTAACCGCTGGACGACAACGGATTTTGTTAACGAATTGGTATAAACTGTATATAGCCACTTTGGAACACCTATTTGCTTAGATTAAATAGCTCCGATGCAAACAAACAAGTAACTGAAGAAATTAAAGTAATCTTCTACTCCATATTTTGTTCGGGCAATATTTAATTGCAAAAGCGACCCATGCAATTGGCTATATATAAATGAAGTTGTTCTTATAAAAAGCACAACCTCCTTACTTATGCTAGCATTCTCTGGAATTTTTGGAAAATGAGGAATGACCATCTAATTCCAGACAAGATCATCTCTCAATCTGAGGCCAAATATCAAAAAAGATTTGATCACTTGCTCCCACAATCACAAGCATGAGAAAGACCCCATTCATCCTAAGCTAAGTGTAGAATAGTTAGATGGAATAATCCCCGATTAAAGACAAAGTTACCATTAATTTGGCTACCACCCATAATGGCCTTCACCATTGTACGGACTTTTTGATCCGCAACAACAAAGGCGACTTAATTGCCCAAGGTTGTCGCAATACTATTGACAAATCTCCTTAGTATGCCCTCATTAGTTACATTTTGTATGTTTTTTTTGCAGCAATAAACAGCTAATGATTGACTCTAGCCAAATTAACGAGAAGAAGGTCAGAGAGGCAATGTCAACTCACTGTGCCAACTATTGGGACGACCTATACACTACAACACGCATTTGGAGAATCGTGCAACAACAAATCATCACCCTCAAGGTCAACCATACAGTTGCTAATCGTGCTAAATTTACAAACATCTTGAAATTTGATGTCATTGGCTATCCTTATGTTGTCCAATAATTTCCCTCCTTATCATCATATCCTTTTGTACTCTTGTTGTGTAGGCTTTGGTTTGTTATGTCCTCCTGCTTTTGTATTCCTCTCGTTTTCTTAATAAATTGGTGGTTTAAAAAATGGTGTTGTTCTTATTCCTTTGAATAATCCAAAACGAGATTACATGGCATGATATAGTGAGAGCTCATGATCTTCAATAAGATATGGACTTTTCAAAGTCAAACATAAGTATAAAAAATTCCGACCGGGCACTTTCTTTCTATGTCATAATAAAACACACACACAAATTAATTAATAAAAAGTCACTTACTATCTTGAGTTTTTTTCTAAATTAATGCTAAATAAAAAATAATTACATAGCTGATGTTGGGTTAATATTATTTCCCATTATAGTGCTGCACAAACTCTAATTAGGGGATGCACAGCCTACGCCTGAATCGTGACCAAGGGGCGCATCACAAATAGGAGAAGAGCACTGTGGGACCCAATAAAATGAAAAGTCTCATTTTTCTTAAAAATGTTGTAACTTTTGTAATTTAACTCCCATTGTTATAAAAAAAATATACCATAACTCATAACTTTTTATTATCTTTCATATGACACCAATATTGCCTATATAAAAATAAAAAATAATTTAGCACTTTAAAAATATAATGTTTTTTAAAGTATTGCAACTTTTTAATTTGTACCCCAATTGTTTTAAAAAATACGGAGTATATCAAAACTCAAAATTTTTTATTATCGTTCGACAATAATATTTATAGGTAAAAATAAAAAATAATTAGACACTTTAGGAATTGTTTATTAGAGTGTCATACCTTTTTTGTGCTCCGATAATCTAAAAATATACTTCAGGTATATCAAAACACATAACTTCTTATTATCTTTCATGTTCCACTAATATTTCTTATACAAAAATAGAAAATAATTTAGCACTTTAAAAAATTTCAATTTTTAAATTGCTATAATTCTTTTATTTGTACTCTAACAGTTAGTTTGTTACAAATAATATACGGAGTATCAAAATTCATTACTTTTTATTACATTTCATATGATACCAATATTGTATTTAAGTTTAAAAATAAAATCTTTCTAATGCATTCGGCATGTTTGGCATTGGGCGAGAATGCTAAAAAGGATAAAATTGCCATTTTTGCTAAAACCTCACTATCTGAAGCCCCCCATTGTACTTTCAGTTAAAAATGGCAACTTTTTTTAAAGTTTATGAAGCTTCATCTGTTTAAAAAATCATTTACACATGCAATATTAGTTTCATATGCAATGCAATAAAGAAGTTATGTATGACTGAGTACGGATCTAGGATTTCTTAGCTTGTACCGTACCGAGAATTGTCCTGAACTGTACTGGAATCGAACGAGTTGGAAAAATAATACTACATTTGTCCCATAATGGTTTTCTCATTTCAATTTGGCACAATTATTAATAAAGTGGTTAAAAGGTAAAAGTTGTGGTTAAGATTTGAGTAGAATAAGGTGAAATGATATGGACCAAAAATTTCTTTCCAAAAGAGAAACATGACATCCATTTCAGAACAACCCAAAAAGAAAAGTAAGACAACCAAAATGGAATGGAAGAAGTACTTAAGAAGCGTATCCATCCATACCGAAAATTGGTACGGGACGGAACATGTTCTATATATACTATCTATATTCGAGACGGTACTAGTTCTTTAATTTTTAAAAGAATCGTACTTTGGAACGAGACAGCCTTTTTAAAATAATCGTCTCATAGTGTCCAATGCTCACCCCTAAAGTTATGAATTTTGATATATTATTTGTAACAATTAGACTACAAATTAAAAAGTTATTGCACTTTAAAAAGTGTGCTAAATTATGTATTTATATATGAAAGATTAGTGGCACATTAAAAGTAATAAGAACTTATGAATTTTAGTACAAGTATTTTTAAAGACTATCAGAGTGTAAAAAAACGTACAGAGTTTAACACTCTAAACAGATTTTTTAATGTGCTAAATTATATTTCGATGTTTGCCAATGAAGTATCAGTGTCTTATGAAATATACTAAAGTTATGAATTTTGATTTATTTTTTAAAACAATCGGAGTGCAAAAAAAATTACGGAGTATACTACTTTGAAAATAGATTTTATTAAAGTGATAAATTATTTTTTAATTTTTATATATCCAATATTGATGTCATATGAAAGATAATGAAAAATTATGAATTTTGATATATGTTTTTTATAAATGTTAGACAAATAATAAAAAAGTTATAACCATTTAAAGAATAAAGATGTTTTTTTTTTCTAAATATGGGTCCCATTTGGACATGAACTGTACATTTCTTCATGGTTGACATTGATACCATGATAAACATGTTCCTTATCATAAGAAATCAATCTTTAAAAAGTAGTTTAGTTTTTTATGTTGCGAAAGTATTTGTACTGGTGTCATATAAAATTATAATTTAATATTCCATCCATCCCAAAAAGACTGGCCAAATTGACTTTTTTTTATCAATGGTAGTCAATTTTGACCAATGATATTTTTTAATACAAAATTATTTAAAATATGAAAATTATATGAGCATATTCTTTATTAGAAAATCTTTCAGACAAGTACAAAATTTATAAAGCACAACAAAGTACAAAATTTATAAAGCACAACAAAGTGTAATGCGTAAAATCATTGATCAAGAAAAGTCAATTTGGTCAATCTTTTTAGGATGGATGTATTATTATATACTACGTACATCTCAATTACTCCTCTTAATAAACTAACTTCTTAGTATAGAACTCAAATCTTGATATGGTATTAGAGATAATCAGATTTATAGTCATGGTTTGTGGAGCTGAATTGACTATGAATCAATGATATGACTATAACGAACAAATGATTGAACAGTGTCACCGGAACTGGTAAAAATGAATAATCAAATGATCTAGACAAAGTGTGTTCGTGAGACAATGTTGAAATAGTTGGCACACATCGATATGATATAAGATCAACAAGTTTAAGCAATATGAAAAACTTGGATGGTGTGACAAAATTTCAACAAAATAAGATATAAGTCTGGCGCATGCATGAGTTATTACTTTTATGAAATCAACATTGAATCGAGGTACACTTAGATTTAACTATAACTTTAAATTGAAATGCAAGTATTATGGACTACCTACCTCATGAGTGGATGACTTTGAGAGTCCAGCATCGTAGCTCATGGATGAATTAGGGCTGAAGAGCCCGAAGAACCTTTCAAAAGTAGGTCCAGGCTTAAGGTTTTCATCGTACAATGCAAAGAGATAAGTGTCGACAGATTTTCCAGGAATCAATGGGGTTCCTACCATAGATCTCAAGTGAGAAATCAAGTTACCAGCATATGCCTTGGCGTTGTCTAGGCTAGGACCAACCTCGTTCTCGTCACCCTTGTATGGCCACCCTGTTTCCGCAACCACTATCTCCACTTCTTTAAACCCAATCACATTCAACGCCGTTCTTACCGCATCCAACTGCTCAAGCATATACCAATTCATTAGTTTTATTTTTACTACGCCTTCACAATGTAATATTCGGTCCATGAAAGAAATAATCCTATTCGTTCCATGCTTAAATTTCAATTTAAGCATAATATAGTTTGAGAAATCGGTAATTGAATGTGTATACATCTTTTGTTCTTTTCGGGTTGCAATGGTCCAAATTTCTTGTTTGACAACACACAAATTTGATCATTAATATATTTCATTCCTTATTAGTAAACAACTAAAAAAACCAAAACAAATTTCGAAAATTTAAATTGAGAGGAGTTTAGCAATATTCATCAAAATTTAATTTATAATACATTAACAAATAAAATGTAGTCAAAATAGAACACGTGATGAATAGTGTAAAATTCACCAATGGTGCAATTAAAAAAGAACGTAATGAAGGTAGTATTATATTTTACTTATCTTACTTTATATAAATTCACATTGCATGTCAATGTTATACTCCGTATTGTTTAAACAATAGACATCATATTTAATTACTTTAGCAAATGTTATAGACAGCTACATATGATGAAACAAGCAATAGACAAAAGCATTTTAAATTAATTCAACTTCTAGTACGGCATGGATGTTTTATTTTTCTACCTATCAATTAAAATCAAACCATAACTTTTTTCCTCGAGTATATAAGATTATATGTTAGTACATTCAAAACAATAATAATAGTAAGTTATTAATTAAATTCTAAATCATAATATGTATTGAACATATTGTCCAATTATAATATAACTTGTTTAGCTGCAAAATAACTTGTTTTGCTCCAATACTCCGTACTTTCATAGTAAGGAGTATAATAAAATATGAAAAGACAGTGATATACTCCGGGCCGGTCCTGGTATAGGGGCAGCCTGGGCTGCTGTCCAGGGCCCACTAGGAAGAGGGGCCCCTAATTTATATAGTATTAGTTTATACACACACACAGACAGACAGACACACACACACATATTAAACTAAGAACACAGAAGCTGAGAACACTACAAAAAAACAGCGTTATAGTCACGGATTTTAGTCACGGATTTGGTCCGTGACTAGTTTAGTCACGGTCTAGTCACGGACTAGTCACGGAAATTTAAAAAAAAAATAGTCACGGTCTGGACCGTGACTATGACCGTGACTAATGTTAGTCACGGTCGTGGCCCGTGACTTAAGTCCTCCGATAGGCCCGTTTCCGTTTCCGGCGAAGTTTATTTAATTCTGACGACTTAGTCACGGCCAAATCCGTGACTATACCCGTGACTATAATTAAAATTTAATTTTTTCCAGCTCCGTTAGTTAATTCGCAACGGCATTATGTACGGACAATTTTAGTCACGGCCATATCCGTGACTAGTTCCGTGACTACTTTGATTAACACGTCATTTACACGTCATTAACACGTGTTGGACGCGTATTGGACACGGTTTTGCTTAGTGACGGACAAATCCGTGACTAAGTCCGTGACTAAATTTTTTATATATGCAGGAGCAGCTCATTGAACAGAATCACACCAATTCATTCCCAGTATATACAGTATCCGTAGATCGAAGGATGTAGTCTATCTTCTATCATTTTCCCTGTTTATGCAGATAAGGTATGTTATTTGAATTATAATTTTTATTTAGAATTAGTTGGTTCAATTTAAATTAGTAAAACTATTAAATTAGTGAGGTTGTTAATTAATTAACAACATGTTTTAACTATAAGCGTAGTAATGTCATAAATTAGAATTAGTTAAACTTTTAGGTTTATAAATTAAAATAATTTAATTAAAATTAGTTAGCTAAATGTGGTTTAAAACGTAATGATGTTTATGTTTAGTGAAATTAGTTCAAATAACGTACGTTAGTAATGTGTTAATTAAGTGAATTGTGAATTGTTATTGTGAATTGTGTATTGCTTATTAATTCAAATAACTTTATATACATGTTCAAATTATTGGGTTGAATTTGGTCATATTATTTAATTTAGTGAATTGTTAATTGTGTATTACTAATAAGAATAAATGTCATTAACGTAATAATTTAATTTAGTGTAGGTTTAAACGTAGGTTTACAAAAATAATTTAATTAAAATTCGTTTGCTAAACGTAGGTTTGAACGTAGCTATTGATGTGTTAATTAAGTTAAATTAGGTAGCTAAACGTAGGTTTAAACGTAGTGATGCATTAAAAGGGGACGGAATGAACTAGTTAAATTTAGTTAAATTTAACTAAATGAATTAGTTAGATTTAATTAAACGTATGTTTAATTTAGTGAAATTATCTGCATTATTGTGCATTAGGGGACATATATTTTGTGCATTATTGTTGAGAATTCTGTGCATTTCATTTAAAAAAGGTGAAAATTAGTTGATTAAATTTAGTGAAATAAATTACTTAAAATTGTGTGCATTGCATTTCATATAATTTTTTATTATAATATTCAGGCATAATGTATAAACAAAATAGAAGTTGGATGTATGATAAAGATGCGGTATTGTACGGAATGCAATCAAATTTTCTCGAGGGAGTCGGGGAATTTATTGAATTTGCACTTGAACATCCGGCTTATATGAGTGGTGATAAAATAAGATGTCCATGTTCAAAGTGTAAAAATCTCAAATTTAAAGACCCACACGAAGTTGGGTATGATTTGTACGCGGTCGGTTTTGTTCCCAATTATTATAATTGGACTTCTCACGGCGAACCTTTGGATCCATCTGTTATACCACAAACGGTAGGTTCGTCTCGTTACGTCCCTCCAGAGATGAGTGCGTGGGGGGACCGTGCTGAAATGAGGTGGGACCAACAAATGGTATATGACGCATACGGTGTACCGTCTCAATTCAACCCCCCACAACCACCTAACGACCCCCCTGAAGCCTCAACCTCGTATCAACCAGATGCGGATGAAAATCCGACATTTTATCAACCTTATGTGGATGAAGGTTTGGCTGAGAGATTTCAGGATGTTCTAAAAGCTGTCGACCAACCTCTGTATGCTGATTGTGAGGGATACTCTCAGCTATCCGCTGTTACTGAGTTCATGAACATAAAAGCCGAATACAGTCTCCCTGAAACTTGCATGAATAGAGTCTTGCAGTCAGTAGGAGGGATGCTACCGCGAGATCATACCCTTCCCGATTCATATTACCACATGAAGCAGTTAATGTCTAAGTTGGGGCTACCTTGTGTTGAAATTGATGCGTGCCCGGAAGGATGTATGTTGTTCTGGAAGGAGGATGAGGCACTTGAGTTCTGCAAGTTCTGTGGTGGAGACAGATACAAACCTGTTCGTCAAGGTAAAAAGAAACCACGACATAGGTCTGCACTGTCTAAACTGTATTACCTCCCAATAGCTCCTCGACTGCAAAGGATGTACGCTTCGACTGCTACTGCGAAACACATGACATGGCATGTTGAGCACGAAACCAACGAGGGTATGATGGCTCACCCTTCGGACTGTGAAGCCTGGAGACACTTTGACCGCTGTCATCCTCAGTTTGCTATGGAGCCACGAAATGTGCGGCTGGGATTGTGCTCAGATGGATTTGCTCCTTTTGGCAGGTTTGGCAAGAACTATTCATGTTGGCCGGTCATGTTAACACCTTACAATCTCCCTCCCGACATGTGCATGAAAAGTCATTTCATCTTTTTGTCTTTAATTTGTCCGGGATCCAAGGATCCTGGGCGAAAGATAGACATTTATCTTCAACCCCTTATTGAGGAGATGAAAGAATTGTGGGCCGTTGGGACACCAACTTATGATGTTTCATCTGATAAAATGTTTATCATGAAAGCTGCCATCATTTGGACCATTAGCGACTTCCCTGCCTATGGCATGCTTTCGGGATGGAGCACACACGGTCTGATGGGATGTCCGATATGCATGGAAAAATCAGGTGCCAACTGGCTCAGTTACAGCAAAAAAGGAAGTTACTTTGATTGTCACCGCAAGTTTCTCCCGGAAAGGCACCGATATCGAAAGGACAAGAAGTCTTTCATTAGAGGCAGAGCGGTACGAGAGAGCCCACCCCCGAGATTGACCGGTGAAGAAATTTATAACCGGGTTCGACGTTTTCCTACGGCTATGGAAGAGCCAAACCAAGAGCCATATGGGTATTGTGATACCCATAAGTGGACAAAGAGGAGCATATTCTGGGAGTTGCCTTATTGGAAAGACCTTCTCATCCGTCACAATTTAGATGTCATGCACACCGAGAAGAACGTCTTTGACAATATATTTAACACGGTGATGGATTTGAAAGGCAAAACTAAAGACGGTCTTGCAGCTAGGAAAGATATGACTATTTGGTGTGATAGACCCGAACTTTCTGTTGATCTAGAATATCAGGGCAAGGAAGTTCCAAAAGCAGTCTACCAGGTCACAGAACCACAAAAGGCAGCAATATTAAAATGGCTTGCGTCTCAGAAGTTTCCAGATGGCTACTGCTCCAACTTGTCTAGATGCGTAGACATGAACAAACTTACCACGACGACGAGCATGAAAACTCACGATGCTCATGTAATAATGCAAAGACTTCTACCAATTGCACTAAAAGAGATGCTCCCTGAACACGTATGGTCCTGCATTACTGAAATCAGTTTGTTGTTTCAATCGATATGTTCCAGCGTTTTGGATGTGGCATCCCTCCGGAGACTACAAGAGTCTGTTCCCATTCTGATGTGTAATCTGGAAAAAATAATGCCACCGTCGTTTTTCGATACAATGGAACATCTCATAATACATCTTCCGTATGAGGCTTTGACTGCTGGGCCCGTCTTCTATAGGTGGATGTACAGATTTGAAAGGTTAGTCACAATTTCATTTAAAAAAATATATTTATTTCACAATAACTGTTAACATGTGTATTATTGCATTATTGCAGATTTCTAGGAGAGCTGAAAAAGAAAGTGACCAACAAGCCACACGTTGAGGCTTCAATTTGTCAAGCGTATCTTCAACAAGAAATCTCAACGTTCTCGTCTTTTTACTTCGAGCGTGAGGTCATCACCAGAAGGAAGAGACCTGCCCGGAACGATGACATTGGCGAGGATTTATATGAAAATGTAGTTTCCATCTTCAATTACCCAGGCAGAGGTAAAGGTGCTGCGACACAACGATACATCCTGGGTGGGGAATTGCAAATTGCGCATACTTATATCCTCATGAATTGTCCAGAAATCTCACCGTTTTATCAGTAAGTTAAATTTGTAGGTATAATTGTAATACTTATAAATTAAATTTGTAGTTAATTTATAGTTTTTTTTTTTTGACTTCACAGTGAATTCCGAGCTTCTTTATCAGCCTTTCCTGAGAATGAAATTGATGCGTTGGTGGACTCTGATTTTGTAAATTGGTACAAGTATCAGGTATATATACACACACATTAATTATATATATTACCTAATGTTTACCTAATGTTATTATTATGTTTATATTTACAGATCAATAGTCGTGGGATTGTCGACCCTTTGTTAGTATCATTAGCGTGGGGCCCAGGTGCCAGTGCCAAAGTGTGGCGGCAATATGTGATAAACGGTTACACATATCACACAGCCGATTACGGAGAGGGCCGACCAACAACGAACAGCGGGTTATGTGTCCCGACCATCGGTTATGATAACTCGGAAACCAATTTTTTTGGTGTCCTGCAGGAGATTCTGGAACTTGAGATGCCTTCTAGTGCGAAAAAAATGACATGCGTTCTATTCCGCTGCACATGGGTTGATCCCACACGTGGCGTGCGAAAAAATCCGAAGTATAATATGATTGACGTCAACCACTCTCGTGTGTACCCGAAAAATGAGCCTTTCATACTCGCCCAACAAGCAGCGCAGATTTATTATGCAGAATATCCTACAACAAGGCGGACCCAGAATCCTTGGGTGTGTGCATGTCCTGTCCGTCCGAACAAAATTAAATCACAAACTCAACACAAGGACGTTGATCTAGATGCTTTTCAGCAACAATTTTTCCAACCTCCGCCTATTGTTGAGACGGTCAACTATAACGTCCAATTAAGTGATCCAAATGGCGGACGTGTTGAAGTCATGCCAGAAACGCACCTTCCGGACCTAACCATTCCATCTGAGCGCGAAATTGAGGAAATGTATGTAGCACAACAAAATGCTCAATATCAGGAAGAAGGTGAATGGATAGACGGTTCAGATACAGAAGAAGACATTGTATATGTAGAAAATGACGATTCTGACAGCGAGTAATTGTGTTGTTGTAATTTCAATTTTATTGACATCTAATATTTGTGCTCTTTTCTTCATCATTATATAATTCCAACAATATTTGATTTTTTTTCTTCTTCATTATTATTTATGAACTAAAAATTACTCCATATTAATTCAACAACAACAAGTTTTCAAAACTTTAAAAATTCAAAACAAAAAATATTTATTTTAAATTCAAAAAAATCGAAAATTCAAAAATTAATTGAGACGGTCAACTATAACATCCAATTAAGTGATCCAATTGACGGACGTGCAGTGTTTAAGTCATGCCAGAAACACACCTTTCAGAAACACTCAATATCACAAAGAAGGTGAATAGATAGACGGTTCAGATACAGATTGAAACCAGATAAATTGATAGCAGTTTATTTAATACTTCACATTCCACACTACAAATTTCCACAATATTCCATATTATAAATTCGAAAATTAATCCAATAATTTAAATACTTCGGAAATCCAAAAGTGTAAAAAATTAAAGTCACGGTCATAGTCACGGTCTTGACCGTGACTAAACCCTTCGTAAATGTCGCCGCAGGCCTGACGGTCATAGTCATGGTCCTGACCGTGACTATTTCGGTCAGCGGCGGCTCTGACCGGGCTCTGACCGTCAGGCCTGCGGCGACATTTACGAAGGGTTTAGTCACGGCCTTGACCGTGACTATGACCGTGACTAATACATTATATAAAATAGCCCCTTAGCGAATTTTTTAAAACCCTACGCACCCCATATTTCCCAAACCCAATACTACCTCTTCCTTCTCTCTTCCTTCTCTTCCAGTTCGGATTAAGCCGCCGCCTAGCCGTCCGCCGTCGTCCACAATCAGCCGGCCGCCGTCGTCCGCCACCTTCCGTCGCCCCCCCTTCTTTTCTCAATCAAGGTTATGTGTTCTTTTCATCTTTTTTTCTAATATTTAATTAAAATTCAAAAAACGCATGATACTATACTCATCAAACGCATGATACTATACTCAAATGCATGATAAGGTACATCATTGTTAGTTTCATGTCATTTTGAGATGTTCAAAAGTTGTATGTATGATTTATTATATGCATGATTTGTAGTTTTGCATGATAATTTCGTTTTATATGTTTAATATGCATGATTCATATGTTTTGTATGCATGATAATTATGTTTAGATGATTTCGATTATTATATGTTTAATATATTCTTATGCATGATTAAACTACTTAATACACTGTTTTTCGAACTTATGCATGTTTATAGAATTAGTTTAATGTTAAATATATATGTCTAGTGTTTGATATGCATGCCTCTCTATAGTTATACAATGTTTATGGTTTTCATGTTTATCTCGAAATATTTAAAAAAATTGCCCCCTCATGTTAAGCTTTCACAAGCTTAACATGTTTAATTATTATTTTACAAATTTTAAAATACACATAAAAAAGTATACTGTTTTTTTATAAGCACTTTTTATAAGTACAAAAAGTAATAATTGAAAACACTGTTTTTGTAATTATTGAAACAGTTCATTAAAAAAACTGATTTTAATTGAAAACAGTTTTTAAGTATGAAACAGTTCATTAATAAAAAACTGTTTTTAATAAACTGGATAAACCATATTTTTTCGAAATTGATTTTTTATAAAAAGTATAAAAACTGATTTTTATAAAACAGTTTTCATTGCATAAATGGTAAAGTGCTTTTTTTTAAAAAGCAGTTTTATAAAAACAGTTTTATAAAAACAGATTTTGGTTTACAGTTTTATAAACTGTTTTAAATAAACTGTTTTTGTAAAAACAGATTTGTAAAAACTGATTTTATAATTATTTAAAAAAGAACAAACCAGTTTTTTTAAATCTGGATATAAGCAGTTGAAAAAAAACTGTTTTGACAAAAACTGGATATTAAAAACTAATTATTATACAGATTTTTGTAAAAAACAGTTTTTTGTGTAAAAACTGATTAATTAACATATTTGTTAAAAACTGTTCAATAGAAAAAGTGTTAAATAAACAGTTTTTATAAAAAGTGTTTATTAATAAATAAAACAGTTTATAGAAAACAGTTTTTATAAAAACAGATTTTGTATAAACTGTTTTTATAAAAACTGTTTTTATAAAAACTGTTTTAAATGAAAATTTGGTTTACTTAAAAACTGTTTTGACAAAAAACTGTTTTATATAATCTTTTTTTGTAATTTAATTAAAAAGGTATAAACTCAAAGTATACTGTTTTTCTACAAAACAGTTTTTATAAAAACTGTTTTTTATTTAAAAAGTACATAAATAACTTTTTGTATAAACTGTTTTTGAAAAAAAAGTATACTGTTTTTATAATTTTGTAAAAGTGTTTATAAAAATTGTATAAAACTCATGTATCTAAAACAAAAAAAAATATGGCCTCTCATGTAAACTTTGCAAAAAGTTTAACATGTTACTTACAATTGTAAATGTGTATAAACTGATAAAAAGATGGCCTCTCATATAAACTGATATATCTAAAACATAAAAAAATGATCTCCTCTCATGTAAACTTTACAAAAAGTTTAACATGTTACTTCCAAGGGCAATTTATTACCAAATTATAGAAGAATTTATTATGAAAAAATATGGATCAATAATTGTGTATAAATTTAATAAACTGTGTATAAGTTTAATAAGAGTGGTTCAATAATTTCTAATAAACTCATCCTATAATTTATCAATGAGTTGACCCAGTCGATCGAAGAATCGATCAGTTGGAGCTTGTTAATGAGTTGACCTAGTCAATTCTTAGATAAGCTCCAATCTGTGGATTCTTCTGGCTACGGCTTGAGTCATCGATGGACTCTCCCAAACGCATGTACTGACATTATGTCGCTACATGTGATGTAGCCCATCCATGGTTCAAGGCGTAGCCTGAAGAATCGTCAGGATGGAGTTTATCAATGAATTGACTAGGTCAACTCATTGATGAGCTCCAACCGGTTGATTCTTCGGTCGACTGTGTCAACTCATTAATAATTATAGGATTTGTTTATTAGCAATTATTGGAACCTCATATTAAACTTATACCCAGTTAAATATGTTATATACATTGACAATTGACAATACTTACATAAAAATTTGATCTTCTATTATAAGCGTTCTAACAAAAAACAAAATAAATTAATATATTTTAGATGAGCAACGAACAATCGACCTCGGCTCCCCGCCCTAACTATGCGCCCATGTCCGAAGCGGAGCGCAACAACGAGGGAGCTGTTTGGGTGACCCCTGGAGATGTTGCTTTGTAAGTAGTTATGATAAAACCTTATTTTCAATAATTTTAAATAATGTTAAATAATCTAACCAAAGGTTATATAAATAAATACTATTAATTTTTTAAGTGACGAACAAGTGTTCAAAGGCATCAAAAGCATAATCGGAGGACACTTTCTTGGCACTTGGGCCACGTACTCGGATGTTGACCCCAAGGTTCGCGAACTATGGTGGAACCTGTTCAAGGTAAAAATAAATGAATGTTCCCTCCCTTATTGTATTGGCCTAATATATACCTAGTGATTAATTAATTCAATTTGTTTTAATAAAGGCTCGCTATCGTTGGACTCACGCAAACGGTCCCGATATTCTTAGAGCCTTCAATGCTAGGATTTCGACCTGGCTTCGCGCCACTTTTAAGCGTGCCCGGAAAAGTGCGAAAAAGCCTAAATGGGTTTCGGATGAAGTGTGGTCCAACCTTTGTCGCCACTGGTCTTCTGATCCAAAATTCTTGGCCAGAAGTGAATCCGGTAAGAAAAACCGGATGTCCGAGAAGGCCTTGGAGATGCAGTGGCACGGAGGTCGCAAATCTCAGAATGCCCATAAAGAAACTCTTGTAAGTGCTATTCAAAAAACCTTACACCATCACAGTCCTTCATTATAAAAAATTTACTTAAGTCTTTTTCACACCATTTAGGCTGGTCCCGAAAAGAAGAGGGTTGATGTTCTCCGGCTCGTCAAGCATTGCTGGACGAAGCACGGCGAGGAATCTGAAGCCGATCTGCCACCCCGCCTCGCTGACTTCGAAGTATGTAACATCATATGTTGTTATTTAGTAACATTTCAAATCTAACCATGTAGCATTTAAAAAATATTTTTTAAAAATGCAGACGAAGTACAACGAATCCGTTGACAGGCAGCGTGCGGCACGAGGCTTGACCCAGGAGGACGACCTCGATTCCGATGCGGATGATGAGGCGGCCATTGAGGCGGCCGGGGTTTACAAGGGCCGGGTTCCATGCTTAGGGGCCGAGGGGCAACGGATTTTGTATGATCGAAGCACCGGCGCTTCCTCTTCTCGGTCAAGGCGGGGAGAAGATCCCCGTATTGCTACAATGCAGCGTGAACTAGAGGAGCACGAACGGCGATGGGAGGAGCAGCGGAAAGCAGATGCTGCCACAAAAGCCCGGTTGGAGGAGATGGAACGGTACATGCGTGCCGGATTCCAGCCTCCGCAACAGCCTTTTCCTCCCCCGTACGTATTCCACCCTGAGCAAACTCCTCAAGTTCCGCACATGGGCGGTATGGTATTTTTCCCCAACTCCGGATATGGTGGCATGCCTATGATCTCCCCGAATTTTGGTTCTATGTCCTTTGATTTTGCGAGGTCATCCGGAGGAGGTAGTGGCACACCGAGCCACGGAGGCCGAGGAGCACCCCGAGGAGGACCCCGAGGAGCACCCCGAGTAGGAACCCGACCTGACCATGAAGACCCCCCCGTGAACCCAGATGAGTTTCTTGTTGATGATGATGATGAAGAAGAAGAAGAAAATCCAGATTTTTTTCATAATGGAGTCCCACGAAGGGACATGTAATCATCATACATTTGTACTTTGTTGTTTGTCAAAACATTTAAAAGTTTGTCACAATATTTATTAAGTTTGTTGTATGTCTTTACTCTTTAAAATGTAATTTTAAATTTAAAAAATTAGAATAATATTTTCAATAACTCAATAGTATAAAAACATGGATAAAAATTAGAATAACATTTTTAAATTTAATTTGTAAAAATACGTGTTAAAAAGTAATTTTTAAAAACAACTTTCATAAAAAAATGGAAAATTTTTTTTTACAAAACAAAAATAGTAGTCACGGCCATATCCGTGACTACAGTTAATTCGAAATTATTATTTGTTTTTAATAAAAAAAATTATTTTTTTTTTAAAAAAAAATTTAGTCACGGTCGACAACCGTGACTAATTTCAAAATTTTAGATTACACCCGCGGGCGGTCTTTTGAAAATTTTGAAAATTTTAAAACTTAGTCACGGCCCACAGCCGTGACTAATATTTATTTTAAAAAAAAAAATATAGTCACGGTCACAAGCCGTGACTAACATGTCGGAGTGAGGTTTCCGGCATCAAATTAGTCACGGTCAACGACCGTGACTAGTCCGTGACTAAATTTAGTCACGGTTATGTGGCGGTGACTTCATTTAGTCACGCCAATTAAGACACGGAATTAGTCACGGCGGATGACCGTGACTAAACTTTTTAGTCACGGAATTTTTACACTGCAGTCCGTGACTAAATCCGTGACTACGCCCGTGTTTTTTTGTAGTGGAAGCCACGTGATTTCCCAATATGGAATCAGTTCCGCTTCCTTGGTATAATTTCTGTTAATCTCTTCAATCTTGGTCGCTTCCGCCTTAGTTGTGCACTTGCTCTCGAATCTTAATCCTCAAATTCTCAATTTTCAAATCACTGGTTTTTGGATTTTGCCTTTTCCCCTCTGGATGACTGAAGGTTGAACCTCTCAAAGGATCCAACGGGCAGAGTAACAGGTATTTTAGTTTACTAATTATATACTCGGTAATTTATTAATTTCACAGGTTTATTTATTTTTAATTATCTAATATACTTTGTTTTGATTAGAAGCTTATTTAGTTATGATTCATATAGACGATAATAGATACATTGAATAATACTCCGTATAAGATATACTATGTATTAGATTAACGGGAATTCAAGTTATTGGCCGAATTTAATTCAATTGACTTGTGGACTCCTGGAATAGGGGTATTATGCAAAACACTTTCCATTTTTCCATACAATTTCAAATTGCTATTGACAAATTCCTATTTTGCATTTTTGCTAGGAGCTCTCTATCATGACTTACGAGCTTTGTGCTTGATGAAAGTTTTTTCATTTTTTTTTTTGTTTTTTCGCAGGGATTACATATATACATATTGCTAGTGTTGACCGACCCTTACATTTTTTAAGATTTCGTTTCGTGGCCGTACCAAAATTTTCTAGTTGTCTCTTCTTTTTCTTGTAATATTATATAAAAAAATCCAAAGAAATATTCATCTGGCAGTGAAAAAAGAAAAAAGGAAGCTAATTGACGAGTAAAATATTTTACTTGTATAATGAATTTTATTTTTGACAATGAAATTTTTATATTACATTCTTACTATATATAAAATAAGGGGCCTATTTTTTTTCTTTTGTCCCGGGCCTATAAATTGTCAGGACCGCCCCTGGATATACTTCCAAATTGAGTTTTTGGATCAATTTATTATTCACATAATTAGGATACCGATTCTTAATTAATGTTTATTTTGGATCTTGCGACTTTATAGAAATTTTCATGTAGTTTCTCAATATTTAAATTTTAATTATTAAAACTGAATTAGTTATTAATGAGTATCATTTAACTTTAACATTGGTTGGATTTAGGAAGAACAATTTGGACGGAGGTAATATAGATATGAGATGGTTAAAAGGGTAAAAAGTCAAAACAATGAAGAATAATTTGAAGTAAAAACTGCACACACCACCTATGACAAACCTGCGCATCGAACATGTTCATGTAGTTTATATTTGAGCCGGGATCGTAACGGCCGCAGCTGGACCGGAAGAGACAGAAGTCTAACGTTTCCGGCCGGGGGTCACTCCGGTAAGCGAAAAAGGGGTAAGGGTTGATGAGGAAAGGAGAGCCGGTGGCCTTACAGAAGCTCAGCAGCTCTTTCAGAGACTCAATTACCGCCGGGTCAAACCTCCCGGACGACGGCGGCTCCGACGATATCAGCATAGACATCCCATGAACCGTGGACACCTTCACTTTCCCTCCGATTGAGGCCGAGTTAAGCTCATTCTGCAGATTCTGCATCGCCGGCAAGAGCTGCGCGATCAGATTCCGGTCGCCGGAGTAGAGGATCTCATTCCCGACGTTGATGGTCGTGATGACACTCTCCGGGTAGAAAGGAAGCACATTTGAACGTATCCATCTCTCCGAAAATCCGGGGTCGGTGGCCATCGCCGGAATGTCGGCATTTGCCAGCCCGATCATGATTCCGATGCCGGTATTCGCTAGAGCCTTGATGATGGACGGGTCAGACCCGTACAACCGGACCTTTTCGATTGTAGTTGACTGTAGTAGCTTAGCGGTCACCTCCGGTGCCGGAAGATTATCCGCCACTTGGCCGTAATTAACTCCGATAAATGACTGAGCTTCTGATGGATTAATTAATTAATTAATAACTAGTTACTAAATTGACCAAAAAAAGCAATAAAAATATTAGCTTGTATTATTAATTTATTATTATTACCTCACCTGAAAGATGGAAAATGAAGAGAAAGCAGAGTAATGAAGCGTAAAACAGAGGAATCGTTGCCATGCTTCTAGAGTTGGAATTTAATTTTATAATTTTCTAGCTTTGGTTGGACGGCAATGGTGATTGGTGAGTAATATAATACTTACAAAATAGATTTATCTGTTTTTTATATCTTTATTAATGTACAGTTATGATAAGAATTAGCTCCATATATATGATGGGATGGGAGGGGGGAGGAATGGTGGATTTCAATTCTCTTTACACTTCTAAACTGGACCCAAGATTTCAAGGAACAGGGCATACTTGCATGCTAAGCAATCCCTTCATTCCCGTCCTGTTAGAGTGTGGAAGATAAAGTGGTTAAGGCTGGGAAGTAAATTACGCAGGGAGTGATGATTAGGAAGCTTGAATTATATGTTATGGTCTTAGCCATATATATACACATTTACGTAAGGCATGCTGGTGAACTAACTCAGCATGTGATAAGTTCCAGGATCCTAAAAGCTAGGCTACAAAATACAAGTAGTTAGAGTTGATAAATACAATAAAATAAAAGGATAAACACTAGCTACGTATATTATTAAATTATACTTTATCATGCCCCCTCAAGTGAGGCGGTCGTGGAAGGACCCCGAGCTTGGAACGGTGTATTTGAAAGAGATGACGAGACAAAGGCTTAGTCAACGAATCTGCTAATTGATCCTTTGTGTGAACATGGGTGACGCGAAGTAGGCCATTGCGGATTTGTTCCCGGACAAAATGAAAATCAATAGCAACATGTTTCATGCGAGAGTGAAAAACTGGGTTAGCACAAACATACGTAGCACTGACGTTATCACAAAAAACTGTGGGAGCTGCGCGGAGTGAAAAATGAAGTTCATCAAGAAGATTACGTAACCATGCAATTTCAGCAGAGGCAGAGGCAATGGCACGATATTCAGCTTCAGTTGAGGAGCGGGCAACCGTGCTTTGTTTTTTTGAGCTCCAGCTGATTGGGTTAGAACCAATAAAAACCACATAAGCAGAGGTAGAGCGGCGGGAGTCAAGATCACCAGCCCAATCAGCATCAGCAAAAGCATGTAGGGAAAGAGGTGTGCGAGCTGAAATGAATAGACCAAAAGTAGACGTTCCTTGAAGATAGCGCAAAATGCGTTTTACCACTTGCCAATGTTTGGTAGTAGGAGAATGCATATATTGTGAAAGTTTGTTGACCACAAAATTAATATCCGGCCGAGTAAAGGATAAATATTGAAGTGCACCCAAAACACTACGATACTCAGTGGGATCATGTGAAGGAGACCCATCAGAGAGGGAGAGGGGCTCACTGGGAGATATAGGTGTGGGAGTAGAAGATGCAGAATTCATGGCAGTTCTTGCTAGTAAGTCACGAATATATTTTTGTTGAGTAAGGAATAGTCCCTGTGAAGTCCACGTAGCTTCTAAACCCAAAAAATAGGAGAGAGAACCAAGATCCTTCAAACTAAACCGGCGGGCTAAAGAAGAAATACATGATAGCAACACCTTGGAATTATTGCCGGTAAGAATAATATCATCAACGTAGACTAATAGAAACATGAGAGTGCTTCCAGTAGAGTAGATGAAGAGTGAAGTGTCACTTTTGCTATTAATAAATCCATAATGAAGTAAAAATGACCGCAACTCATAATACCAAGCACGAGGTGCCTGGCGTAATCCATAAAGAGCCTTATGAAGGAGGCAGACATGATCCGGAAATTGTTTATCAATAAAGCCCGGAGGTTGTTGCATATAGACCTTCTCAGATAAGGTGCCCTGCAAAAAAGCATTATTAACATCGAGTTGGCGAATGGCCCAACCATGAGTTACGGCAATAGTAAGGACAACGCGGACGGTGGCCGGTTTGACAACCGGACTGAAGGTGTCCGTGAAATCTATCCCGGGACGCTGGTGAAAACCTTTGGCAACGAGCCTTGCTTTATATCGTGCTAAGGAACCATCCGGATTTTGTTTGACTCGAAACACCCATTTACACCCAATAACATTTTGGGAGGAGGAGGGAGGGACAAGAGACCATGTTTGATTTTTGTGAAGGGCTTGAAACTCGTCCATCATGGCTTTATGCCATTCCGGACTGGAGAGTGCCTTTTTGTAAGAAGTAGGAGCAACAGGTAATTGAGTAGAGATGGCATGAAGGATATATTTAGGATTGGGTTTAAAGATATTATGTTGAGAACGGGTGATGGGGCGTGATGGCGGTGGAGGTGCGGATTGTAGCTCACTGTTTGTGTCGGTTGGAGAAGGAGAGGAATTAATATGGGAATTATGAGTGGTGGGGTGGGTGGCAGAATTAATTGGAGAGTTATGTGGGGTGGGTGGATCGGATGGGGTTTGACTTGGGTTCTGTTCACGTGAGGATGTGGTAGATGATGCAGTGAGGGGTGGATTTGGGGAGTGTGGTAAATGGATAATGGGTATATTGGTTGGTGGGTGGGAAAAGATTTGGGACGTAGGGGTGCATGTAGGAGATTTGAATGGGAGTGGTATGGGGGGTGTGGGAAGAGAGGTAGATGTAGGGGATAAAGTTGGGGGTTGGGATTCTGGAGGTAAAAATAATTTTAGTGCAGTATTATAGGTGTGAGTGGAGGGAAGGGAATTGGTGTGTTTATAGGGGAAGACGTGTTCAAAGAAAACCACATGGCGTGAGGTAAAGATTTGACGGGTTTTTTGGTTAAGACAGTGATGAGCATGATGAGTGAGGGAGAACCCAAGATATATACACGGTTCAGAACGGGGCTGGAGTTTGTGTTTAGTGTAGGGCCGAAGCCATGGATAACAGAGGCACCCAAATACTCTTAAGGATTTATAGTCAGGGGTATCTCCAAATAATTTATGGTATGGGGTATCATGATTGAGAATGGGGGTTGGCATGCGGTTAATTAAATATGTGGCATGTTGAAAGGCATAGGGCCAATAATAAAGTGGAACATTTGCCTCAAAGAGTAGGGTGAGGGCAGTTTCAACCACATGGCGGTGTTTACGTTCAGCTGAACCAATGTGTTCGGGAGTATATGGTGGGGATATTAGATGTTGGATGCCATGTTGAGACAAGAGAGGGGTAAGGGACTTGTATTCTCCGCCGCCATCGGTATATAGTGTTTTTATTTTTGTATGGAAATGATTTTCTACTAGTGCCCGAAAGTGATTAAAAGTAGAGTAGACATCAGATTTATGCTTTAGGGGAAATAACCAAGAGTATTTAGTATGATAATCCACAAAAATAACGTAAAATCTAATGTTATTAATAGCGGAAATAGGAGCGGGACCCCATACATCAGAGAAAATAAATTGAAACGGACTAGTACATTTTATTGTTGACATATGAAAGGGTAATTTATGACTTTTGGCCTGGAGACATGGCTGACACGGAGATGATGAAGAACTGAACGGCACTTTATTTGAGGAGAGTACACGACGAAGGGTAGAGTGACCAGGGTGGCCGAGACGTTGATGCCATAAATGAGAAGTTGCATGAGCCACAGATGGGGTTGTGTGGTCCGGCCAGATATAGAGATTATTTTTGCTCTGGCCGCGGACCAAGGATGCCCCTGTCATGAGATCCTTCACAACAAAAGAATCAGGTGAGAACTCAATAGAAGTATGATTTTGTTTACAGAATTGATTAACAGAAATAAGATTTCGATGGATATGAGGTGCATGCAAAACGTTATTGAGTGTAAATTTAGAATTACGAGAAACAAGACCGGTGGAGCCTGTATGAGATATAGAAATACGATTACCATCTCCCATCACAATAGAATCGTTCCCGGCATAGTCAGAATGAATTGCAAGGTTATTGAGATCTGAAGTTACATGGTGTGTTGCACCAGTATCCAAAAGCCATCCAGCATTAGCCTCAGTATGAGGTGTCTGATCTGCCATATTCACTGAGAGAGTGTTACGGTTATAGCAAGTCTTTGCCGTATGACCTGGTTTGTCACATAATTGACAAATAATAGAAGAACGGGAGTGGCTGTTGTTTGATTGAGAGGATCCAAAACCATGTTGATGGGGATTGAAGGTGGGGGCGGAATGACGGCCACGTCCCCGACTGCCTCTGCCACGATTGTTGTTGTGAGAACGTCTTTGAGTATATTGAACTGACACAGGGGTGTCAAGATTATCGCCGGCAAGGATCTCAGCTTGTTGAAGGTGATGGCGTAGTGTTGAGAGAGTGAGAGGTGTTTGTTGGATACGTAGGGCAGAAATAGTTTCTTTGTACTCATTCCCAAAGCCGTTGAGAACATAAGACATGACTTGGCCGGGGGTTACGGGATGACCGATAGTAGCAAGATCGTCTACTAAGCCTTCCATGATGGCCATGTATTCGGTGACAGATTTGCCAGCCTTTTTGGTAGTGGCGAGACTGTTATGAAGAGATAGCATGCGAGTAATAGATGCGTTAGCAAAGCTCGTTTCAAGTTTCTCCCAAGCTTCAGCGGATGTTTTGCAACTGTTGATAATGGGACCAACAGAATTTGAAACTGTGGACTGGAGAGCTAGAAGAACGAGGCGGTCTTGACGGGTCCAAAGATTGAATGACGGGTCTTTATCATCAGGACGTGGTGTTGATCCGTCAATATAGCCTAGCAAATCATAGCCAAAGAGAAGATTGGTGAGTTGTGACTTCCATGATGAGTAATTACTTCCATCATTGGAGAGTTTAATGGGGATTTGAGAGGATGCATTTAAAGATATTAGTTGTGATGTGGGTGATTTTTCAGTGGGAATCGAGGTGGTGGATTGAGATGAGTTATTTGGTGGAGAAGCCATGGGAGAAGGGTGAATGATGAGGACTGATTTTAGATTGATGGCAGCAATCAACACAATTGCGGCTCTGATACCATAAAGTGGTTAAGGCTGGGAAGTAAATTACGCAGGGAGTGATGATTAGGAAGCTTGAATTATATGTTATGGCCTTAGCCATATATATACACATTTACGTAAGGCATGCTGGTGAACTAACTCAGCATGTGATAAGTTCCAGGATCCTAAAAGCTAGGCTACAAAATACAAGTAGTTAGAGTTGATAAATACAATAAAATAAAAGGATAAACACTAGCTACGTATATTATTAAATTATACTTTATCAGAAGAAAGCTTCAAAAAGTGACACAATTTGACAAAATATTGG